TGTTGCCTTTTATGTTTGTTGCCAAGAAAATGTGCAGCTCGGTTACGCCGACCTTATGAGGTTAAATTTCTCTTTAGCGGAGGTGTTGTGCTGAAAATTATATGCTGACTTGTGCATGGTGTTGCTACCATTAACACTGCTAAGGAGAAATTCAACCTCGTAAGGCCAGCCTAACCCAGCTGCACATTTTCTTGGGAACAACATAAAGGAGAGGACATAGTTATAGATGGCACCATACTTGCAGCTTCAACAGAAAATTAGGGTAGATGGCGTACTGAATAGCAAGACTTGGCAGTTATCGGCGTGGTAGATTCTGAGCTATAAGTTGTCTGCACCCAAGAATTTTTGGCTTTGCGAAATTTGACGAATTTCGACCTGGCCTGGGGTCATCAAACTTCGAACTGCAGCATGGAATTAGGTATGGGCATCCAATGGTGAAGGTTTCACAATGATCGGTCCGGTAGGCTCTGAGATCTGTGTTGTCTGCATTTGCATGCAAAATTTTCCCTTCGCGTTTTCGAGATGTTTGATTTCAGGTCAGGTCTCTAAGTTGCCTCGCCATGACTCACCACATTACACGGAATTGATTGGTAAAGGTTTCAAGACGATAGGATGAGCCATTTCGGAAAACTTGCGTGTTTGCATAAAATGCCGGTTTTTTAGACCCTGCATGATGTGATGAGGAGAACGCGTGTGAGGTTTGTACTACTGAGGGAGAACATTGTTTTGGTATTTTTGAAGTCTAATGACTCCCAATGAAATGTGATACATTGATATCTACCTCTGTCTTTATGCTTGCATATGAACATGGCAAGGTGGTGATGCCAGACGGCCATAACAAACGCTAACATATCCTATGCTGCAGGGCTGGACAAAGCCAATTTGCCACTTCGTTTTCATCTTGTCAACGTGTTAATTCGTTTATTTATTTAGGACACAAGCATTTCATAGGTAAAAGTCTAATTACGCGAACAGTCCAGTTTTAAAAACAATAAATATGCGATGCACATAAATAAAAACCTAACCAAACACACACACACGCACACACACACACACACACACACACACACACACACACACACACACACACGCACACACACGCACACACACGCACACACACACACACACACACACACACACACGCACACACACACACACACACACACACACATAACACATAGTCGCACATCAAGTCATCGAGAGAACGTTCCACGTGTGCCTGCAAACCTAAACAATGCTGAAATGTTGAGGCATTACCAATGTTGAGCCTATTGAGATATTAGAACATGCAATTAATCCATTGCATGCCATTACATTAGCAATTCATTTTGACAGGGCAAGTCTGTGCGGCTCATTAAGGCACATGCTCGGTAAAGGCTTGCATGTTTTGTCTTTGTAAAATTGTCTGTGTCTCAAGAATTTTGAAAATATAGTGCTGTATTATAATGGATACACACAATACTGTCTATACACATTTTGTGTGCGAGCAAGCATTGCTTGTGAGTCGTCATTGTCATGCCTCCATAGAAATTTCATTGAAAAATAATCAAGTGATGTGGTGCGTGGCCTTGAAAGGTTGGTAAATAGCTCGGGCAACTGTTGTCATCTGGTTTTCCATGTTTGCTCATTTTGTTCAGAGCCTGTCTTTTAGTCACTGCAACTTGTGTGAGATGCTGGGTGCTGGGAAAGGTGGAAAGGTATTGCTGTCGGCTTCCTGGGTGACACTTAACAATATTTTTACCATGAGCATTGCACATACCTGCGGACTTGTCACGTCCTTACATTTCGCTTATCTCACCATAGCCACATAACTTGTCATTTCTTCAACCTTGCATAATATCAGCAGGTTTACAGTGGCATTTTACCACGTGTAATACTTCCTCGTTATAAACGTGTTATTATTTGTGTGAACAATACTTTGGAGTGGAGCAACCTGGTGGCTGCAGCATCTTGCAGGACTGTGAACGTATTGCATTCAGTGAAGCAGCCTACAGTTGTTTTTTTTTAGCACACTGCTCTTAGCTGTAAATGTTCTGGAGAGTGCAATCACTTTCAGGTGTGCAAAATGTTATTAACTGTTATTTTTCCATCACACCATTAAAATGGAATTAGTTAATATTGCATGACAGTACTGGGGAATATGATAGTCTGCTTCCTGCCGTGAAGTGTAGATATCTGCATGTGGCAACCTTACAAATTGTTCATATCAAGTATGCTGTTCTAAGAATTGGCCCGCATTTCGTTTTTCATGGCTACTTTCCGTACGTGGTCGCATGCCCTGGCAATGTGCTCAGTAAGGTGTCTTACCAATGCTCTCCCCGCAACGGATCATAAGAAAGGTGCAGGGTACTGCAGGAAAACATGGTTGGAACAGTATTGGAATAATCTTGGTTTCATTTCCCATCTTAAATAGCTGAAATGTCACTCCAAATGCACGAGTATCATGCCGCAGTGCACGAAACGTCGGGGTGGGGTAGCGTTTTTAATCTGACGTAGAATTTGTGGTCTCTTAACAACTACGGCGCGGTGCCGCGCCACAGATTGTTTCACAGAGGGTTTTATAATGCTCGAACAGCCCTGTTGTCTGCTTTTTCGTGACATATTTTTCGTGCCTTTGTTTTTTATCAGCCGGTTTACAGCATTCGGTGACGTAAAATCGAAGCAAAAAAAGAACGTCGGTGGCCTTCTTTTGTAACATTGGCGATAACCCATATAATTCCCTAGATTTTATAGTTCAACTGGACTTAAATGCTCTTTCCAATGATGCTTCACCTTATTTTATAAACAACTAGATC